GCCAGCCAATGAAATTAATTTTTTTGGAGGGTTGGCAGAACACAAATTATGTTGTCACCCCTTCTTTCCCACAAAAACTGAAATGCATGTATGTGTATTATTTTAACTGTGGCCTGGCCTCTTGGCCCTATCCCCTGACCATGGCCTGGCCTCAGGCTTGCAGTCCAGAAAGAACACAACATTGAAGCTTCAGGCATGACCTGTCCAGAGACAAGGATTGGTGAACAAGCAGCCTCGTATTGTACAATCAGCTCCCATATTGGTAGTTCAAGTTCTAGCAATTTTCCCCTTGGTTTGCCACCACTAAAGAAAACCTCGTATAATAAGTTATCACCATATTCACCATATTCACTTTATCACCATATTCAAGTTCTAGCAATTTTCCAGTTGTTTTGGCTTTTTGGGCAAGCCAATGGGAAAATTACAATCAAGTTCAGAATCGCACAGTGCCCCAAGAAGATCAAGTTTGTTTGCCACTTCATGTCACCACATTGTGTCTGCCTGTGAAGGTGGATGAAGTTACAGCTATTGGACAGTGTGTGGCCTAAGCTCAATGTTGGGGGGACTGGCTGACTGACTATCCCTCATTTAGTCAAAATAGGTCTCTGGAGAGTGTTGATGCATGATTTGAAACATTCAACCTTTCCAACACCATCCAGCATTTCCAGAAGTTCAATGTCAACATGCTGCATACCAAGATTGAAGATGGGGGGCAAAAACAAGATGACAAACAACATCACAACAACATCACCCTGGATTCCAGGGACAAATTTATATAACATGCCCTGGATGCCAGGGACAACATGATATTTATATAGAACATGCCCTGGATGCCAGGGACAACATGATATTTATATAGAACATGCCCTGGATGCCAGGGACAACAGGCCCTGGATTCCAGGGACAACATTTATATAACATGCCCTGGATGCCAGGGACAATGGATTCCAGGGACAACATCACAACCCAATGCCAGGGACAAAACACCAAACTAAAGATTTACAGTAAGACAAATCCTGGCTGCCAGAGTTCAACAACAAACAAATTGAACATCATATTTATGGACCTGACCTCACTTCCAGTGGGCAATCATGCAGGATTTGACCTGGGGCTGCCACTGCGCTGCTGCCAGCTGCTGACTTCTGGTGATGCTCTGATCCTCCAGGCCGTAGGGGTGCCAGGCCAGGTTGTATTTTTTGGGGTGAACCCACATTCATCATAATAATATTGTAGTTCTCACTTGGATTTCACATATCCGTTTGCTGCTGCCGAAAACAAACATCCGGGAGCAATCAATGCAAGAGAAGCCAGACCTTGTGTATGACACAGTGTGGCGAAGTGAAGACTGGATTGCTGATGAAGCCTGACCAGGAGCCACCGAGATCTTTTCTCCCTCAGCATGATTTGAAGCTTGAGGAGAATGTCATTTGGAGACAGGCCCCCAGGGGAGTCTACCAGATCAAGGTCAAGCTAGGCTGGCAAAGCCTGTACGTGCTGACATCAGCAGTCAAGTACCTGGAGGACGCAGAGTACTGGCATTGCCCTGGCTGCAAGAGGGCATGGTGTTGGAACCTTTCTGGAGACCTCGGGCGCAGAGACGATCAACATGCAGAACTTCATTGTCACCAACTTAATTTTATTTAGTAATCATTTCCAACATTATGCAGAAGGTTATTTGTGGGCCTTCTGGGGTAACTTCAAGTATATAAAACAAAGTGACATTGTCACATTGTTGAATATGAGACCTGATTGCTTTGTTCTCACCTTGGCACTGATGAGTTGGTTTATCCTGCTGCTCCTTTTAGGTTCAGTATAACTTCAAAATTAAAAGTACCACTCTTTGTCCCACACTAATGTGCGGGTACATAAATAATTACATTATGACACCAACAGGTCTGTATTTCCAACATCATCAGGCAAAGGTATGTCATTCATATTTTTTGGTGGTATATTGTTAGTATTGCATGTGTGTATATCAGTTTATCTCAAATTAGTTCAAACTTGAACATCACTGGGAAGTTTGACAAAGCTCTCAAATATCTCTTTGCATTTTGCAACCTTCAGTGGAATATGACCTCATGATGATTAACCTCATGTTTTATCTTTGAGATCAAATAAATTACTCTACTTCGTGTGATCCCCACCATGACATGTCAGGACGTATATTTGGACATATATTTAGTATATTCTGACATCCTATCTGACATATATTCTGGCATATATTCTGGCATTCTATCTGGCATATATCCTGACATTCCACCTGGCATTCTATCTGGCAGTCTATCTGGCATTCTATCTGACATATTTTCTGACATTTCATCTGACATATATTCTGGCATTCTAACTGTCATTTATTCTGACATATATTCTGGCATTCTATCTGACATATATTTTGGCATTCTATCTGACATATATTCTGGCATATATGTTGGCATTCTATCTGGCATTATATCTGACATATATTCTGACATTCTATCTGGCAGTCTATCTGGCATTCTATTTGGCATTCTTTCTGGCATTCTTTCTGGCATTCTATCTGGCATTCTATCTGGCATCCTATCTGACATTCTATCTGGCATTCTATCTGGCATTCTTTCTGGCATTCTTTCTGGCATTCTATCTGGCATTCTATCTGGCATCCTATCTGACATTCTATCTGGCATTCTATCTGGCAGTCTATCTGACATTCCTACATGAGGTCCGGCAGGGAACACTTGGCGCGGATGGTCGCAGTTGAGGTCCGGCAGGGAACACTGGGCGCGGATGGTCGTGGTTGAGGTCCGGCAGGGAACACTGGGCGCGGATGGTCGTGGTTGAGGTCCGGCAGGGAACACTGGGCGTGGATGGTCGCGGTTGAGGTCCGGCAGGGAACACTGGGCGTGGATGGTCGTGGTTGAGGTCCGACAGCGAACACTGTGGATCGCGAGTCGCAGTTGAGCAGGAGGACGAGGACGACGAGGACGAGGAGAAGGAGGAGGAGGAGGATGCTCAACTTCTTTCTTCCTTCTTCTCCATGTATTTTATTCGTTCCCAGTCTCCTGATGTACTCTTCGGCACTGACATAAAATCTAACAACCCTCACCTGGCAGGTGGGGAAAAATGTTCTGTAGCAAGGAAGGGTGAACATATATCTCCCACCAAGTTTCCAAAATAATTCAAACTCATTGGCTTGCAATGAAGAAAACAGCCCCGCAGTGGACATCAGCTTTCCATTTTAAAATGCCTTGAGATCAAGCATTGAAGTGGCTTGGGGAATTTTTAAGAAGTGTGGGAATGAATAAGAGCAATAACAGTTATAAGTGAACATATTACCAACAAAGTCACTGCAGATGGATTTACCCACTAATACCATGCACGCACGTAGAAACCCACAATAATATGCATCTGGGTCATTTTGGGTGGGGTTGGGGTGGGGTGGGGTGGGGGTAATAACATTCATGTCAACTTGAACAGACATGGGTTGTATGGTGTGCATAGGAATTAAATATGCATCTGGGGCAGTTGGTGTGGGGTTGAGGTGGGGTGGGGTGGGGGGTAAAAATGTTCATGTCAACTTGAACATATGTCATGCTACACTGTGGGATCTTCTCTTGCTTATGCACACATATGTCATGCTACCCTGTGGGATCTGCTCTTGCTTATGCACACATACGTCATGCTACCCTGTGGGATCTGCTCTTGCACTTGCACACATATGTCATGCTACCTGTAGGATCTTCTGTTGCACTTGCACACATATGTCATGCTACCACTGGGATCTTCTGTTGCACTTTCACACATGTGTCATGCTACCTGTAGGATCTTCTCTTGCTTATGCACACATACGTCATGCTACCCTGTGGGATCTGCTCTTGCTTATGCACACATACGTCATGCTACCCTGTGGGATCTGCTCTTGCACTTGCACACATACGTCATGCTACCTGTAGGATCTTCTGTTGCACTTGCACACATATGTCATGCTACACTGTGGGATCTTCTGTTGCAATTGCACACATATATCATGCTACACTGTGGGATCTTCTGTTGCACTTGCACACATATGTCATGCTATGGTCTTCTGTTGCACTTGCACACATACGTCATGCTACACTGTGGGATCTTCTCTTGCACTTGCACACATACATCATGCTACGCTTTGGGATCTTCAACTTTGTCTGTTACATTTGTGCAAACAGTCAAAAGTCTGTTCAAAATGAAATCTAGGTCGTTAGTTTTGCGGTCTCTCAAAAAGCCTGTTCCAACAGTTCAACTTATTGATGCTTCGTTCCATGATTCAGCTAAATCCTGGATGTCAAAAACATTGGGGAAAACCTTGAAAGAACAACATCCAAATGCCTGCGGAACATTCAACTCAACTGAATGTCAGACATCCAAAATGAAGATGTGGGTTTCTATGTGCATGCAGCTTAAAGATTTGATGAGACTTGGTGGGATTTACCTTGATGTCATTGGAAAAGATTTGGTTGGTTGTACTTGGTAGGATTTCCATTGGGGATTTGCCCAAATGAAGACTGCCACTCTGTGATGAACTTCCCTGGGGGAAAAGTAATAGACCCTTCATACCCCCATTAGGACCCCTTATGACCCAAACCATAACAGTGTGACAGTGAATACAGTATTACAGCAATCATCAATGCCCACCCACCATTTGTCCTTGGCAGTTGAAGTTCACCACCACGTCCTGTGGCCTAGATGGTGGGGGGTGTGATGGTGTGCTTGATGGTAAAGTGTCTTAAAAAGACATGAGTGTCTCACAAAAAAAGCAGTGTCTCACTTTCCGCGGTTTCCAAGACACCATTTTTTTGCACACTTTCCCGGACATCTCTTTTTTGCGGGTCCCAACAGGAGGCAGACAGCTGCCAAATGGGACAAGTTTGAAGAAAAAAGCTCAACCTGTGCAAGGGAGCAAGCACTTTTTGATCCCAGAGGAGGAAGGCTAACCTCACATGAACTCAAAATTAACCCCAAAGGGTTTATCTGATCTGTCTCTGGCCATCTCACATCTTGACCACTGTGTCCTTGGAGATTTTGAACATGTCCTTGGCACAGACTTGCGGCAACATGCCCTTGAGCTTGTTGGTGCCCTGGTCATACTCAAGGACACACACCACTTCAGCTCTCGCAAGCTTGCTCAAGTCAACGTATTGGGACAGCTTTGAAGCCGAAATCTCTGCAGGTGGAAATTGGCCACTTTCATCCCCACCACCCTCAGCCTCCATGATCGTGGGCTTCAGGACCGCATGCTCCAGGCACGTCACCTTCCCATCGAGGATCTTATGCAAGTGGAGCCCTGGGTTTGGCAAGCTTGCCTGGGTGATGCCAGAAAGTATCTCCTTCAACGAGCCAGGAATAGTACTGAAGCTCTGCAAACTTTCAGGCAAATTCTGCTTTGATTTGAGAAGAACCATAGACTCCTCTGTGAGTCTATACGGGATGCACAGCCCTGCGTTCGCCTCCTCCATCAACGCCGCAGCTTCAGGGCCAGTTTTGAAGTGGCCATGCACGGGGAAAAGGGCACCACTCAAGGTGCAATCAGTGACTGCCTTGCAGTACAGATTGCCTGCTTTGTCCACATACCACTCATGGGTGTTCAAAGGTGACTTGCACCTTCCCATCTCATCCAGGGCTGGGTGTGAATCAGGCTTGAGGGCATGAACTGCACCAACATTTTGGCGGTGAAGCCTTGGCCAGCAGCAGGAAATTGGGGGGTTAACTTGGTGCGGTCATCATACCAAATACTCACAGCAGTTAATTACCAAAAGAAATTCATTAAGAATTCACCAAGGTGCTCCTCCACTGGCTCTTCCGCTGTGCGTTTGTTGCGTGAAGCCTCCCTTGGGTTGAACTCCTTGTTGTGCACAGCAACCAGGTCTGGCCAAGTCATGTTCTGCCAAGGCTCAGAACTTGGCAAGACCATGTTCCCACAGCGCTTCCCTTTGTCCAAGGTCGACTTCAGCCAGTGGAGCTCCTGGTTGGCAGCTGGCACAGTGAGAGCAAAGGTTGACTCATCCAAGGGAGGGGCTTGTGACTTCTGGCCAGGCTTGGGCTGCAAAGGGATTGTCACCAGTGCATACTCACCACGCGACATTGCACCCTTGACATATCCTTCGATCGCATCTTTGACATTCTTGGCAATAGTTTCTTTCACACCAGTGTTGCAAGCCCAAGCCAAAACACAGTAGGCCAGGTTTGGCCAAGTCTTCATCCCATTGCCAACCTTCATGGCATTCATTTGGCCAACCGCCTTTGCCAGCTCTGAATCATAGCATGTCTCATCCTTGATGAAGACCATGTTCGACACCTTCAGCTTGGTCCCCTGAAACAGGGTTTTCAACAGCTGACAGTAGAGAGCTGCCCCAGAGAAGAACTGCCTCCTCTCCGCATCAAGATCTCGGTTTGTGCTGCCACTTCCTGAGAAGCTCAGATCCTTCCAAAAGTTGGCCATGTCTGCCCTGTGGAGGCATGAAACCAACCCAGGAATGGCCTTCCTCTTGATGAGGGTCGATGAGCCAAACACATTCTGCTTGGGGAGGTTCTCCATGACAGAGGCAGCTACAGCAATCCAAAACTGAAAACCCAGCGCTCGCTCATCTGAGTACATGGTGCTTTCGTCATAGAGAGCCGTGCATGTCAGCAACTTCACGTTAGCAGCTTCCAACTCTGTCTTCCACAGTTCACAGTGAGCTGCCACATTCTCATGCCAGTTCCTCTTGCCACTTTTAGATCCTGCCCCATACTCAGGTTGATTGGGTGGGACGATCACATAGATGCAGGTGCCAGCCTTTGACGCCAGTTCAGAGGCAACATGCCCAACCGCCATCCTCAGGTGGCTAGAAGCAGCCATGCCTAACATAGGCACATTCAGCACCCCAATCACTGCCAAGTTCACAATGTCAGTGAGTTGTCTGGCTGCCAGTCCTTGCAAGATTGCACTCCCAGCAGCTTGCACCGCAGTGATGTTCTTGCAGGCTTGGACACTGTACCAGAGTTCGTGGTCCTTCCATGCTGCATCCACTGAATTAGAGACAGCAGCCTGGTACTCACCTCAGGGTTCAATGAAAGATGCCAGGGTGATAAGATTTGCGTGGACAATATACGCCCTGGATGGGTGATAAGATATAGGCCCTGGATGCCAGGGTGATATATGATACTGTTTGGACAATATAGGCCCTGGATTCCAGGGTGATAAGATATAGGCCCTGGATGCCAGGGTGATAAGATATTGTTTGGACAATATAGGCCCTGGATTCCAGGGTGATAAGTTATAGGCCCTGGGTGCCAGGGTGATACGATACTGTTTCGACAATATAGGCCCTGGATTCCAGGGTGATAAGTTATAGGCCCTGGATGCCAGGGTGATACAATACTGTTTGGACAATATAGGCCCTGGATTCCAGGGTGATAAGATATAGGCCCTGGATGCCAGGGTGATATATGATACTGTTTGGACAATATAGGCCCTGGATGCCAGGGTGATAAGATATAGGCCCTGGATTCCAGGGTGATAAGATAGTGGTTGGACAATATAGGCCCTGGATGCCAGGATGGTTATATGCATGGAGGAATAATTGTTCCAAGTTGCTCTCTGCAGCCAGGGATGCTGTCTGGTGTCGTGCCAGGTTTGCCTTGTAGGATCGCATGGTGTCCTGCTCCTTCTTCAAAGATCTGGCCAAGGAGATCAGGTCCTGCAGCTTCTCCTTCTCCTCATCATCACAATCAAAGCAGTCTGGCAACTTGACTTCACCTGACATGTCTGCATCCTGGCCTGACAGCCCCAAGTCTGACAACCTGAAATCCACACGGGCAGCCGTCACCTCTGGCATCAGTCGCTTGTCCAGAGTCCCTTGCCTCCAACTTGTCTGGAACTTCAGGAACTCTTGATCACCCATCTCATGCTTCAGGTCCTTTTCAAAGTGATTGACAAAAGATGCCATCATGAAGACCTCAGCCTCCTTGCCCGAATCACGGAATGGGCCACAGATCTGAGCATTGTTGATCGGAGGGTTCTGGCCACGATTATAGTACTCCTGGAGCTTGAAGTTCCACTTGGTCTCCAATCGCTTGAAGAATTCCTCGACCTTGTCCCAGGTATGCTTGCTGATCTCATGCCACAATGGGTTGGTGTCAGCTGGAAACTTGGAGGACATGGACTTCTTGGGCAGTAGGAAATCCCTCCCCACCAAGGTCAGAGGCACAGCAGTTTGGCTTGGATTCTGTGTCCCCCAGATCAGCTTGAGCATCCGTTGGATGGTAGCAGGTGCCTGGTCATAGAAATACAAGGCTTGGACCTCTTGCGTGTTCAGCTTTGCCTTGCCCACTGCTGTTCGGTTGTGCTTGGTCACACTCTCTTGAAACAGATCTTGGCGAGCTTTCCTCGAACCCATCTTCTGCTTGTGACACACCACCTTGTCAAGCATGAAATGAATGTTGTACACAGATGGCCTGGACCTGGCTGATGCATCTGTCTTGACACGCAGACTCTCCATCGTCTGGGCCTCTGCATTCTCTTTGGCATCACATGTCCCATACAAACCTGGCGTTGGTAAGAATCAAAACCTATTTCCTAGGAAGCTAGGGAAAATTATAAGTTAAAAGCAATGAGACCATGGGATGGTTGATGAACTTAGAAAACACCCTGGGTGCCATATAGAAAATCATGGAAAGTGGATGAATAGGCAGAGCCAAGTCACAGAGGACTCCAATGAGACGCTTCGCAAGCTCCTTCTTGACATCGGCAGCGAGTTCATCCAGAAGCCCCAACTTAAGCACTGCCCAAGCACACAAGTGGCATGCCATGGTGACACTGCTCCCAATAGACACTCCAACACTGAAGCGTCTGACAGGCTCCCCAGCTTGAGGGTTTGGGCTCCACGGACAGCCCCAAGAGAACAAGACTTCTAAGGGGTATTTGGCGGTCTCAGCCCCATACCCAATCAGCATCTTTTACATGTTCTGAATGACTCCATGAAGGGCCGGGGCTCCTTTCACATGACTGTTCTCCTGGATGCCAAGCTGCCACAGGCGAAGTGGAAACTTTTCCAAATGGAGCACACCATTCTGTTCCACATGACAGGCAGCAACAGGTGGGACCAAGTCCTGAAAGACCATCTGTTCTTCAGCGCTCACAATGCTCTTGACAGAGTCCAACAATTCCATCAGAGCATCTGCATGGGCCTTTCGACTCTCTTCAGAGTCAAGCTTGGACGCAAGCCACTCACAGCAATCTGCAAACTTCGGCTTCCCATCCAGGCCCTTCACATCCATCTCAACCTTGAGGCATCCAATGATCTGGTTCAGGACCTTGACCATCTCACCATGGTTGGCAGTTGCAGGGCTAGCCATCAGATCAAATCAAATGGGCGGAAGTTGATCCAAAAGTCTTGTGGTATGAAGATTTGTGTTCAGTGAACAACTCAGAACTATGATGAGATTTAAGTCTGCAAAAAGTGGAGATTAAGCAGGTGAGATTGAATTCAAGCCAGACAGGCTGCAATGAGCAGGCTGCTTTTTTTCGGACGCCACTTGTCTGAACAAGCTCACTCTGCCAGTCTCAGTCTATAAACCCCATGCAGTCATGTGACTGTCAGATTGTCTCATCACAACTTTCCATTCAAAACCCTGGAAGCCAGGGCAGGAAGTATGTAAAACCATGTAAAACCTTGAATTTAATCCCTGGAAGCCAGGGCAGGAAGTATGTAAGCCATGTAAAACCTTGAATTTAATCCCTGGAAGCCAGGGCACCGAGAGCCAGGGCAAGAAAGTTGTGAACCCTTAGAGACTGACACCTACAGAGCCTGAACTTTCTCAAGGAAGAGATCCACGGCTTCATTCTGAGTGACCTCCCCAGAGTAGAGCTTCCAAAAGACTCGCTCGTGGCCATCTTTCCAAAACTTGGACGGGACATTTTGGTAGAACGCCTTCTTCTTGATGTCCCATTCAAAGCCTCGGTGGCCTGGGGGCCTGACACGCCCAGCAAAACACTTTCGGGCTGGCCATCCATCAGGACCCCCCTGCCCTGAGCCATTGTTTCCCTCACTCTCAACCTTCTTCTGACTCCCCGTCTTCTGAGCTTCACCATCTTGAGGCTGATTGCCAATATCCTGGTTCTTGGCAAACTTGGCCTTCTCCTCTGCCTCACCTTCCGGCATCTTCTCAAGACCATGCTTCTTGCATGTGTCAGCCAGGTTCTGGTGGCCTGTCTCCTTCATGTCCTTCTTCTTCTCATTGTCCTTCTTCTTCTCGTGGTTGCACTTGATCTTCTCCTTGCCACTCTTGTCCTTCTTCTCCTTGCCACTCTTGTCCTTCTTCTCCTTGCCACTCTTCTCCTTCTTCTCCTTGCCACTTTTGTCCTTCTTCTCCTTGCCACTTTTGTCCTTCTTCTCCTTGCCACTTTTGTCCTTCTTCTCCTTGCCACTTTCGTCCTTCTTCTCCTTGCCACTTTCGTCCTTCTCCTTCAAGTTCTCACCCTTCAAGTTCTCACACTTCTTGGGGGTATCGCGCATAAACTCCTCAACGAAGTCTGAAGGCTCTGACCCTGAGTGGTTGGGGTTCTCTGCATCCATATGGTCTGCAGGTGGTGGCTCTGAGTGCACTGCTGATTCCTCCTCAGAAGATTCTTCCCTCACCACGAAATGGTCGAAGAACATTTTGCTAGCGCAATGCCACAGTGATGCAACAGGTTGAGAGCTGAAAGCTGCAGTACTGTGTGACAATCAAACATGTACCTGCTTGATTTTGGGCTTCATGACATCAGAAAAGGGCATCTATCTCTACTTGCACGTCTGAAGGTAAGACCTACAAAGCAGTGATGCATGATGTTTTTTTACCCCAAAGCCCCTGATGTTGTTCCACATCGTGAACCTACTCAACCCCATGGATCATAGTTTTCATCATCAAAAGAGGAAACAGTCTTTGCCTGCTTCCTAGATTTTTTGCAAATCGTCTTTTTAACACCAGGCCCTTTGGGCTTGGATGGAGCAGACTCCTCAGAACTCCATGGATCAAAGCTGGCATTGACACTCAATGGTGGTGATGGCTCCCGAGAACTTGCTAGCCACTGCCGCCATGCCTGCACAATTGCTTCACCCAAAGCTGGAGGATACAGGCCACTCTCTTTCATCTGGGGCCCGCATCCATTGACCTGCACCTTCCCATTGCGCCCAAGAACCTTCTTCATCAGTTCCAGGTGCTTGCAAGTGCAAGAACAGTCACGAGCAACTGGACCAAACCACTGTGAAGAAGCCATGAACTTGAAACGCTTCTTGAAAGTGGGCCGGATCTTCACAAAGGCGCATCTGTCCAAGTAGAAGAATTGAGGCACAAAGCCTGGAAACTCATTCAACCGATCCAAATGCTTCTTCAAGTATGTGAAGAGAGTGCTGCCACTTGGGTTTTCCAAGCAAACATGAAGACCTCGGGCTATTCCAAGGATGTAGAGGAACAAGGCAACCTCTGCAATGAAATTGCCATCCCGGACCACAGTGCAGCTGATATCCCCAGCAATGTTGACCTTTGTCCTTTTCGTTTTAGAAGAGCAGCTCCAAGAGAAGGACCTGCAGTCTGGGGCAATGCATAGAAGACCTCCTTCTTTGACCCTCATTGTCAGTGTCAGAACCTGGTGAAAACCATCTTGTCCTGTGACACTTTTTTGGTCCTTGTTCATGTAGTCAAATCCCATCGAATGTAGTCCAAGACCTCGAGCTGCATGAACTACTGACTCAGCCACAGCGAAGACTTCAAGAGCATCAATATCCCTGGGCGAATTGCTGAAATGAGGGCTGCTCAAAACAGAGGCCACTGTGTAGCCAAAGATTGCCAAAGCGCAGGTGCTGACAGCACTTGGCATGGCTAAGTAGACAGGCCAACAGTCAATCTACGCACTCAACCTAAGGTCACCTTGCCAAGCAAAATCAGCTAGAAAATTCAGACCGTCAGTTCCACCACCTCAAGTACTACTCCATGTTTGCAAAGTGAAAGGTTTACAAGCTATGTTCTTCAAGTATGCACAGAACAATTCTGAATCATTCACATGCTGTGTTCAGAGAGTGCATTTGGACCTTCTGCAGCACTAACAGTGGTTCTGTTTTTCTGATGTGACCTCAAATCACTGACGTCGAAATTTCACAACCATTTGCCAACACCGCTTTGGCAGGTGAGGAAAATAAACGTGGCCCTCCAATTCTGGGTCCTCCTCGTGCCTATCTCTCAGCCTGACCCATGACAAGTTGGCTAGTCTGGGCACTTGGCCTTTGATTAAATCAGCCAAAGCATCAGCTGCAGCTGGCAAATTGTACTGATGCCTGCACAGTTCCAGCAGCTTGGTAATTGAAGCCACTTGCTTTGAAGTCAATGCTTCTTGGCTATGTACACTGGTTGGAACATCACCCTCTAGGGCAACCACAGACTGGGAACGGACAACATGCAAAGGAGGCTGTGACAGGTTCAGATCCCGCACATACATTTTGACACATATGTACACACCATTCACATCAAGAGGTTGCGTCAATAGGTCACGATGCCGCTGACTCAACTGCTTACCCCGAATGCAGGTGAAGCAATGGGGTACATCAATGACCTCATCCTGGTCATGCTTCCTTGGTCGAGGTTTGAAGCAGTTGTCCAGGCTGAAACCCAATGGCAGAAGCCAGTCACCAAACTTGCGCACACCAGTGATGTACCTTGCAAGAACTTCTGGATAGTCTCCTCGACTCTGAATGCCTGGGCACAAAAGGCAACTCAGGAAGGAGGGAAAAACACTTTCAACTTAACATCAAAATAAAATCAAGTAAAAGGACAAACCAACAGGAACATCTTGAACTTGAGACCTGTTACACTCCTGGATGTATTGCAAAATCTCCACAGGTGTTTGCCACTGGGATTTCCTCTTGAGGTATGCAAAAATGAAGGCAAACAGTCGGTCACAATCCTCATGCGTATGTCCAACCATGAGTTGAAAAAGGCAACATGACTTGAAGGTCCCTCGGTGTGTCAATGCACACATGTACTTGATGAACCATTGGTTCTTGGCAGATTTCACCGTGTTGTCTGCAACCACAACCAGATGTTCAGGAAATCGCTTCCCTGCTCGTTTGCCCTCAGGACTGTTTGCTTGTTGATACACAGATTCAATTGTTTGGGCCAGGACTTCCATGAAGTAGTCACTTCCAGAAGTTGTTTGTGGACTTGCCATGTATAAATATGCACCCCAACCATGGGCAATGGCTGCTGTGAATGTCACTGAAGGCTTCTTGACATTGTCCAGCTCCTTTGGGTCCTTCCTGAAACCAAATCGTGGCCATGCAAATTTGCTTTTGTCCATATCGTCAATGATCACTACCAGAAGATCCTGGCACTGTTGGCTCCCTTGACGTAGGGCATAGTACAGCAACCTGTCTTGATACTGGTCACCCTGGTGCCTTCTGAGCTCTTTTGCTGCATGTAGCTTTCTGGGCCAATCCAGGGAGCTTGAGTGGAGCAATTTCTGCAGGTCAAAGCACAGCTGGCATTGACTGTGTTGACTTGTTTTCCTCATCTTGATATATGGTTTCCAGACACTTTGGAATCTTTTGCGGAATGTATCGTAGGATGGAATGGTGCCAACACTGCTACCACTAAATGTCCGGTGCAGTTCATCCAGTGATGACCATTCCGCCTGGAATTGCCAATATAAATCTGATATCTTGCAATGTTGAATGTACTTCACTGGCAGAGCAGCTGTCAAGGCTGATGTCGGATCCAAAGCATCCTGCTGGCAATCATCCTCCCAAGGATCAGCATCATCATTCACTCCACAATGTTCATCTTCTGGAAGTGGTTCAGCTGCAGATAGGTGAAGTTGCTGGAAAAAGAGATCGCACTTGGCAGATGCCACAGCGTCTTTGGGACATCCACCGAAGTGCGATCCCTGCCCAGTGCGAAGATCCACCTGCCCACTCAACAACTTTCTCACTGTGGGCTGTGAGGTACGCAAAAGCCTGCAGAAGTTCGCGAAGCAGACTCTGGTTTCCCCAATCATCCAGTGAGTTCCATTTGTGCTGGATTCTGATTCTGGAGCAGTCAATTGAAGCAACTGCATACGCTCAAAGTGGCTGATCTTCCAGTAGCATTGGCACAAAGACAGCAAACTTTTGAGTGGTACACCTTGGGGCTGACAGCCTTCTAAATGACAATTTCTGGAGCATCGCAATTCCCACCTTGTCTTGGTGTCTTCCACTGAGGCACCTTCACGTTCATATTCATTGAAGGTTGATTTCGTGGTTGAAGCTGCCAGAAGCTGAGCACCAGCATCCAAACTGGCTCTGCGAAACTTAGCTTTTGGTTGCTGATCACTGAGCCAAGGATCA